TGTCTAAGTCGATCAAAAACCATGTAAAAAATAATCCAAATACTTACAATAGTTATTTYTAATTTTTAAATAATGGATTTGAGCTGGAAAATGAAATGCTGAGTGAATGAATAAAATTAAAGGGAAAATGATGTTGTAACGTTTGCMGTCACGTCTKCAGGGACTGCGTGACCTTACCACTTACAATAATTGCTCCATTGGCTAACTACAATGGTAAAAAAGAAATGTCATGACAACATATCAGATAATCTTATTGAGGATGTGTCTCGCCCGAGTGTGCGTAGTGTTTGATATTTCTCAAATCATTTATCATGTAGAATGGACTGGGTAGCTRCACTTCTGTTTATAAAAAATATTTTTGACAACTAGTGGGCATTGTGTACCAGAATTGCGTAATAATATGTGATTATGAAAAGATTGGGCATTTTCTATATATATTTTCATTATGTTCGCAATATATTGAGTTGTAATATAAACAAGCTTGATATTACACAGCTCTCTCATCAATATGATCTTTAAAGATTATAGAAGGTCAACGCTTGTGCCGTGTAGTATTAAAGCTAGCTTGAGCTTAAGTTTATATTAAGCTTATTTATTAGTTTTCAGTTCCCAGACGACAAGAACTTTTGAAGATAAAAATCAGTTTTKAATACTCACTCTTGTAAATCGTATAACGTATTGGACCTTTTAACTACAACATCTATGCCAGCCTCTCTMGCTAGCATACGAATAGCAGAGTCCCTCTCTTTACCAAATGGTTCCGTATCTTCWGTAAAGGTCAATTTTGTGATCCTCCATTGCTCGAATAGCCGAGGTAATACATCAGCAGGCTGGCCACGAACGACGAATAAACGTGAATTCAATTTTCTTAAACTACCGTCTAATTCCTCAAGCGACTGAAGTAAAAAACGCCACAGATTTATCCCGATTGTCGAGTTTTGGGCATTTCGTGTATCGAAGATRTAGACAACTCGGAATGTATCACAGTTCAAGACAGCCTCCCGAAGAGCCGGGTTGTCATGAAGTCTCAGATCTTTCCTGAACCAGTGAAGAGAATTGATAGCCCTTCGGCGAATGCTATGGTCGTGAGCTACATGAACTTCCATAGAGCGACGGATTTGACATCAATTTGACATTTTTTCGCGATTGCTTCGTTGCCAATCCAAATCGTGCCCCGCCATTATCTCCTTTTATGGCGGCTACTTGCATGCAGTCTTTCAACTTTCTGTTACGTAATCAATGTTTTTACGTGTTTTTGCACGTGTGTCGTTAATTTGAAATGACGATAATTTACCAATTGAATCGCTTGCCGATCTCAAAAGGACTAACAATTCAATTTTTCCCCTCCTAAAAGTCTCGCCTAAAAAGCCTCAGGATTCCCTCTCAAAACTTTTCATACGTTGTCTTCCTGTGGTACAAAAATTGGAGGTGGACTGGTAAACTAATGGAAATTTGGATTTGGATCGTACTTAAAGCTGGAATTTACGGAACATTCATGATATCAAGAAGATATTTGACTGTTCCAATTTTCAAAGAGTTATAGTAAAATARGCTACCAGAATAAACCCTCAGATAATAGTTATAGATAAATAAAAAAAACTTCCTGAATGCTCAAATAGTTTTATTTGCCATTTGCTAAAATCATTACACGAAGTTTGAATTTAAAAATATTCCATGAAAATAACACAGGCCTGACAACAGTTTAGTATACATCATTAATTGACTGGAAATACTGCTTCAGAAATTCCTGGTTCACTCACGCCAATTTGTACATGCCAGTTCGGTTGGAGCCTTGATATGTTTCACTTTTAATCCGATATTTCCAAAGGCATACTTACTGCGTCATCTGTAAGAAAGGGTGATAATCTATGAGTATGAAAATACTGTAGTTTGCGCAATAGCGCTCTGGGAATGACATTCGGMCTCAAACTTACCAAGTTGGTTGCTATCTTGCTCCAAGTTCACAGCTACTTGCGATTCTGGATGTTTAAGAGCGAATGGTCCTTGAGACAGGCTGATTGTTTCCAAGCCTTCCAAGTCTGATTCTTCGCGCTTGCCAACCTTAGGCTTCTGACAGCCCTTTGCGCACACGCTGTCTTTCTTTTTCCCGTCACAAGTGGTCACSATGCAGTGGATGAAAATATATTTGTGTTTTTTCTCGACGAAGCGGAAAGTCTGAAGACGAAACCTCTGCTTGTTTGTGGAAGGAGATGGCAACATCTTCAACGTTTTGTCTGCTGGGCAACTGAACAACGAAAAAAAGGTATGATCAAACAAGATTAGGAGTGGTACTACCCCTGTTCGTCCACATCCAATACCCGCAGATTCAGTTATTAATGACAATGACAATAACAGTAACAGTGACAGTGACAGTGACAGTGACAGTGACAGTGATTCATTGTCATTGATAATTTCCTCACCTGTTTGCAATCAAAGGATGCCTGAGTTTATCAGCAGGGGATTTCGTTGCTGTGGCATAACAATCCTTTGCCAAGATAGCAAGCTCTCCACTAAGGGAATTGACTGATACCTGTACATAGACAGGTTGGCGAAGATGCAAGCGTGCTGGGTACTTKGCGAAAGGTTTGTCAAACTTCTTCGTTGGAAACATTTKGATTGCAAACTTGAATTTACCATTTTCGACAGAAGCACCTCGGAATTTGTCCTGGTTCGGCTCAATCTTATTCGATGTGAGTACGGTCTTTCGCGGGTAAGCACATTCTAGCGTTATTCTTATGTCCTTAACACGGGATAYTTTTCCACCTTTGACAATTTCTGTGCCAAGAATCTCATTTCTGTAGATGATCTCTGTTTTTGTAGTCTCAACCTGAGTTCCACATTTGTCCAAACCGAATTTAAACTGGAAGTTTTTGCCCGCTTTGCATGCTGGGTCTAACAGACGCAAGTCTTTGAAACTGGTATAGGGCGTTGGTCTTTTAACGGTCACTTTCATCTGGTTGGATCCGCATGTAAGTTCATGCTCAACTTCTACCAAGAAAAACGCGAAAAATACAAATGTCAACAAGAATTAAGAAGAATTAAGCCTGGACAAGTATGCATTAGATATTACTCAATGCCRCAATTCTATTTGGGTCTTTTGTTCGTATTGTTTGCGTGGAATCAATTTTGTTTAGTGGGAAAGCGAAAGCGATTCTAAAATGCAATTAACTCAGTATTTTAATGAGGACGCTAGTAAATGATGCAAAACTTTACCGAYTTGTAGGGACGTTGGTCTAAACCATAGTTGTGGGCATCATACATAAAGTTTTAAAATGATTTTAAGATGACAAAGCAATTAAGATGTAATCCTTTATATAAAATAGACACCTTGAAATCGATTGAAAGCAACTTTTCAGATTTTGACATTTTTGTGAGAACATACGTAATAAATACATGCAGACTACAGATAGATAAACAGAATCACAGACGAAGTATATGCAAATCTTTTTTTATAATAAAGAAGAAATTCATTTGTCCGTCATGAGCGTTATACTAAACTCTTCAATTAAACCGTCATTTTGCTGTTTTAGGCTAACGCCTGCGCATTACGTCTCTCTCCGGTGTTATGTGAAATCGATCATTGTTATATGAATTTAAAAAGATGCAAGTTTATAATACTTACTTGTATGGGTTAAGCAGCGTTTCTTAGCATACTTTTTAATCTGTTCTTCAGTCAGGGCAGCCCCGTACACTTGCATGCACGACACGCTTCCCTTGAGGTAGCGAGCATCCCCAATCCTTACTCCCATTCTGACATCGTCCTGCGTGGATAAACGAAGGTTCTTTCCAATGTTCTTCTCGCTCTTGGTATCATATGCATTGTTTACAAACAGTCTAGCCTTTCCAGTTTTGCCATCGTAAGACGCGCATCCAAAGTGCCATCCACTGTCAAGTCTTTTCACCTTGGCGCCAAGAGAAGTTGTGAACACATATTTCAGTTTTTTCGATACAATGTTGTGGGTGAAGCGAACGAAGAGATTGTTCTTATGAATCATCCACAAATGAACCCCCCAGTGATTGGTAGCATAGTTAAAGATTGGCCCATCGTTCTCGTTGTTGATCCAGGCACAAAGCGTAATGGATTTTTTAGCATCAAGTCCGCCTTTATTTGGGAACTCAACGTAGCTGTTTGGACGCCCTTTAAATTCGATTGCATTGTCAGGGCCTCCATAAGGACCTGCAGAAAAACCGATGTTTTTGGAAATTCCGGGGGGATTCTTGCCCAAGATGTCTTTTGTTCCAACTTTTTTATTCAGTGGGTACACTGCCATAGGTTTTACTTAAAAATTAAAAAAAATAATGTTAGTAACGTTTTTCCAAGATCTCGAATTATTACCAATACCACCGCCATTTTGTTGCCTGCCATTGCTTTGAAATTGTTATCTACATATTAAGACCGCCCACGATATCTAATAGTCAGAATACATGTACCATGATTTCAGCCAAAAATCAGATTTTAAAAATATTGAGTAATATTCGTTATAGTAGTAAATAGTTTTAAACAGTACTCACGATTTGCCTGTCCTTGCACTGARAAAAAAAACAAGATAGATATTGTCAACATTTGTGAAATTGGATTTCAAAACGGTGTAGCAAGAATGTCACTTGTAAGCCAATGAAACTATATTTTTTTTGCATGAGTGTGCGCGCGCCCGATTGATTGCTTAGAAATATAAGCGAAAAACCTTGTATCGTAGATTTTATGTGTAAATCCTTCAGATAACACACAAAGTATTGAACTCAAAAATATATTTTCAGACAGTCATTATTAAACGATWAAAAATAAAACAACTAAAGCTAAAATAAATCTATCCCTTTTGCATGATCGTGAAGTGTAGGTAGGCCTTCAGTTCTTTTGGTTTATAAGCTAAGATAGTACCTTTAAGAATGGCAACATGGACGAAAGCCGCCAAAAGCAGC